GAATGCCCAAATGAGCCACAGAGATATTAGAAAGAACTTTTTTAGTGTCAAAGTGGTTGACAAATGGAATGCATTAGGAAGAGATGTGGTGGAGGCTGACTCCATACACAGTTTCAAGTGTAGATATGATAGAGCCCGATAGGCTCAGGAATCTGTACACCTGTTGATTGACGGTTGAGAGGCGGGACCAAAGAGCCAGAGCTCAACCCCCGCAAACACAACTAGGTGAGTACACACACACACACACACACACACACACACACACACACACACACACACACACACACACACACACACACACACACACACACACACACACACACACACACACACACACACATGTTTTCAGGGCATGTTTCGATGTTTCTGGGCTATTTGAAGCTGCCTATAACTCGTCACCAACCATTATCACCAACACCCAACAACCATTACCACAAACACCCAACAACCAGAAACATCAACAAGCAACCACTACCAACAACCACAAATACCACCAACAACAACCATCAGCCACTACTACCAACAACTAATACCTGCACAAACAACCTCCATCAATCACTACCATCAACAACAACCAAACAACCACAATCAACAACAATCACAACCACCAACAACCACAACCACGTAGAAACACAATTAACAACAACCACTGCCACCAACAACCACAATTACCAACAACAACCAACAACCACTACTACCAACAACAACCTCTACCACCAACAATCACAACCACCATCAATCACTACCACCAATATCCACCAACAACCACTACCACCAGCAAACACTACCACTAACAACCAGTACCACCAACAACCAGTACCACCAAAAACCTCTACCACCAACAACCACTACCATCAACCAACAACCACCACCAACAACCACCAACAACAACAACCACCACCAACAACAACCACCACCAACAACAACCACCACCAACAACCACCACCACCAACAACCACTACCATAAACCAACAACCACCAACAATCATTACCACTAACAACCACTACCACTAACAACCACTCCCACTAACAACCAATGCCTGGACAAACAACAACTACTACCACAAACATCCAACAGCCACAGACATCAATCAACAAACAATAACAACAATCACAAATACCACCAACAACACCAACCATCAAACACTACTCTCAACAACAACCAAACAACCACAGCCACCAACAACCACAACAATCAACAACCACAACCACCAACAATCACAATTGCCAACAACCACTAACACCAACAACCACTAACATCAACAATGACTAACACCAACAACCATCACCAACACCCTTCACCAATCCCTACACCAACAATCACTACCACCAACAACCACTACCACCAACAATCATCAACAACAACGACCACTACCACCAACAACTACTACCACCAACAATCATCAACAACAACGACCACTACCACCAACGACCACTACCACCAACAACCACTACCACCAACAACCACTACCACCAACAATCATCAACAACAACGACCACTACCACCAACAACTACTACCACCAACAATCATCAACAACAACGACCACTACCACCAACGACCACTACCACCAACAACAACCACTACCACCAACAACAACCACTACCACCAACAACCACTACCACCAACAATCATCAACAACAACGACCACTACCACCAACAATCATCAACAACAACGACCACTACCACCAACAACTACTACCACCAACAATCATCAACAACAACGACCACTACCACCAACAATCATCAACAACAACGACCACTACCACCAACGACCACTACCACCAACAACAACCACTACCACCAACAACAACCACTACCACCAACAACAACCACTACCACCAACAACCACTACCACCAACAATCATCAACAACAACGACCACTACCACCAACAATCATCAACAACAACGACCACTACCAACAACGACCACTACCACCAACAACTACTACCACCAACAATCATCAATAACAACGACCACTACCAACAACGACCACTACCACCAATGACCACTACCATCAACGACCACTACCACCAACAACAACCACTACCAGCAACGACCACTACCACCAACGACCACTACCACCACCAACAACCACTACCACCAACGACCACTACCACCACCAACGACCACTACCACCAACAACATCCACTACCACCAACAATCATCAACAACAACGACCACTACCAACAACGACCACTACCACCAACGACCACTACCACCACCAACAACCACTGTCATCAACAACAACGACCACTACCACCAACGACCACTACCACCAACAACTACTACCACCAACAATCATCAACAACAACGACCACTACCAACAACGACCACTACCACCAATGACCACTACCACCAACAACCACTACCACCAACAACCACTACCACCAACAACAACCACTACCAGCAACGAACACTACCACCAACGACCACTAACACCACCAACAACCACTACCACCAACGACCACTACCACCAACGACCACTACCAACACCAACGACCACTACTACCAACGACCACTACCACCAACGACAACTACCACCAGCGACCACTACCACCAACGACCACTACCACCAACGACCACTACCACCACCAACAACGACCATTACCACCACCAACAACCACTACCACCAACAACCACTACCACCAACGACCACTACCACCAACAGCCACTACCACCAACAGCCACTACCACCACCAACAACCACTACCAGCAACGACCTCTACCACCACCAACAACCACTACCACCAACGACCACTACCACCAACGACCACTACCACAAACGACCACTACCACCAACAATCATCAACAACAAAACCACTACCACCAACGATCACTACCACCAACGACCACTACCACCAATGACTACTACCACCAACGACCACTACCACCAACGACCACTACCACCAACGACCACTACCACCACCAACGACCACTACCACCACCAACGACCACTACCACCACCAACGACCACTACCACCAACGACCACTACCACCACCAACGACCACTACCACCACCAACGACCACTACCACCACCAACGACCACTACCACCACCAACGACCACTACCACCACCAACGACCACTACCACCACCAACGACCACTACCACCACCAACTACCACTACCACCAACGACCACTACCACCAACGACCACTACCACCAAGGATCACTACCACCAACGACCACTACCACCAACGACCACTACCACCAACGACCACTACCACCAAGGACCACTACCACCACCAACGACCACTACCACCAACGACCACTACCACTAACGACCACTACCACCACCAACGACCACTACCACCACCAACGACCACTACCACCAACGACCACTACCACCAACGACCACTACCACCGCCAACGTCCACTACCACCAACGACCACTAACACCACCAACGACCAATACCACCAACGACCAATACCACCAACGACCACTACCACCACCAACAACCACTACCACCAACGACCACTACCACCAACGACCACTACCACCAACGACCACTACCACCACCAACGACCACTACCACCACCAACGACCACTACCACCACCAACGACCACTACCACCAACGACCACTACCACCAACGACCACTACCACCACCAACAACCACTATCACCAACGACCACTACCACCAACAACCACTACCACCAACGACCACTACCACCAACGACCACTACCACTACCAACAACCACTTCGACCAACGACCACTACCACCACCAACAACCACTACCACCACCAACAACCACTACCTCCACCAACAACCACTACCACCACCAACGACCACTACCACCAACAACCACTACCACCAACAACCACTACCACCAACCACCATTACCACCATAAAAAATAAATTAATTAATAATAATAAATAAATAAATAAAATTAAAATAAAATAAAAATTAAATAAAATTAAAATTAAATCAAAATTAAATCAATAAAAAATTAATAAATAATAAATAAATAAATAAATAAATAACCTAACTACTAGCCTGAGGTGGTGGTGAACCCGCAGACCCGCAGACGATGGGTGGTGGTGAACCCGCAGACCCGCAGACGATGGGTGGTGGTGAACCCGCAGACGATGGGTGGTGGTGAACCCGCAGACCCGCAGACGATGGGTGGTGGTGAACCCGCAGACCCGCAGACGATGGGTGGTGGCGAACCCGCAGACGATGGGTGGTGGTGAACCCGCAGACCTGCAGACGATAGGTGGTGGTGAACCCGCAGACGATGGGTGGTGGTGAACCCGCAGACTCACGATCACAGGGAGGATTGGGAATGGACTTGTCAGGGAAAAGCGCCAAGCCGTCAGTCACACATTGCACTTATATCATCCCTATTATAGTACTTGGAGGGGATCAGGATTAGGGATGGAGGCCTGGTCGACGACCGGGCCGCGGGGACGCTAAGCCCCGGAAACACCTCAAGGGACGTGGGAAAGGAATTGTGCTCCCCAGCGCTCCAGGACGCTCGGGGATTGAACTCTGGTCTGCATAAAGCGAGACCGTCACCCTTCACGATGGGTCGGTTTTTATTCCTTTTTACATTTTGTTTTGTGTTGTTTTAATTTTTTCTGACGTTCCGCAACGAGTTTTTCAATATCATTAATTGCTGTCAATACATTTTCTTCAAGTCCAATAACTTCGATTGGGCCTTATTCCCCTCGTCCAGGAACGGTGATTTTTACGTGGTGTTTTTCGGTGAGTTTCTTTATTGTATCACCCTTGGGGCCAAGGATCACTTTCCTGTGTTCTTCTCCGACTTCTATGGACTTTTAAATGGTCTTTTTCTGATGTTACGCCACGAGTTCTTCAATATCTTTAATTGCTGAAAAAACATTTTGCTCAAGTCCAATAACTTCGGTTGGGCCTTATTCCCCTCGTGCAGGAACGTTGATGTGGACTTGGTGCTTTTCGGTGAGTTTGTTTATTGTATCACCCTTGGGCCCAAGGATGACTTTCCTGTATTTTTCTCCGACTTCTATGGCCTTTTAAATGCCCTTCGCTGCCAGTTCCTCTCTGGCTTTAGCTGCCTCCTCCCGTTTGGCCTTTCTCTCCTCCCGTTTGGCCTTTTCCTCCTCCCGTTTGGCCTTTTCCTCCTCCCGTTTGGCCTTTTCCTCCTCCCGTTTGGCCTTTTCCTCCTCCCGTTTGGCCTTTTCCTCCTCCCGTTGGGCCAAAAGTTTTTTATGGTACTCAATAATTAAATTAATTTTACTTATGGACTTTTCAACATTTGTCTTATATCCTTCAACAATTGTGTCTCTGAGGCACTGTTCTTTTGTCGGTATTATTATCTTGACCTAAAAAGTCTTTTATATATCCGAACGGGTTTTACCTTTCGGGCCTATTATAACCGACCGGAAGTCGGGCGGGATAAATACTAACCGAGAGACTTTTCTATCATCTTCACTTCGTCCATGGGCCGAGTTTGTCTTGACGGGGTTACCGTTTTCGGTTTTGTGTTCTCCTCCGGGAGTGTTACCGGAGCTTATGGACTCTGATCCTTCTTCCGTTGGTGTTGTCGATCCCGTTTTGGGTTTTAGGGCATCACCGGTATTACGGCGTTTGTTTTCTACTGTCACCTAACCATTGCCAGGTGAATTATTGGCCTTAACAGCCACAGAATTTTTATCGTGTTTGGCCTCTCTTGACGGGTGGAGGGGGTTGATGTCCTCTGACGGTTGGAGGGGGTTGACGTCCTCTGACGGTTGGAGGGGGTTTACGTCCTCTGAAGGTTGGAGGGGGTTTACGTCCTCTGACGGTTGGAGGGGGCTAACGTCCTCTGACGGTTGGAGGGGGTTTACGTCCTCTGACGGTTGGAGGGGGTTTACGTCCTCTGACGGTTGGAGGGGGTTGGCGGCTTGCACGCCGCGGACATTGAGGTTTTCGGTTGGCCTAATCTGTTTTGTGGCAGGAATCTCACTTCCTCCACGATCATTCAAGTCATTTTTATTTTATGGTGTCCCATTTTTCTCATCTGCCATTGGAGTGCGATAAATTGAAGCCCAACTTGCTGCAATTTTTGGAGTCTTCAAGAGGCAACTGTTTCTCTCACGAGCCTTTTTGTTGTAGTATTAAAGAAGTGCTATCATAGATATCACAATCATTATGATATGAACCCCGAGGCTTACAAAGCCTGTTTTTTGTGGGTCGGGTCTCACACCCATAATTACCAAATGGGCTTTTAGCTGGTCAATGTATTGCCTCATATTCATTGCAGTTGTGTCTCTACGAAGGCTAAATTACGCCAAGAACCTGTTAGCTTCACCCACCCAGCCTGGAGCAGATGGCAGCGGCGTTTCATGCCGTGAAACGCCTCGAATCCGCTCCATTAAAAGATACGTCAGTGGGGAGGCTTCCGCCCGTGTTTGTTCGTGTCTCAAAATTTACTATTTTAACACCCTCCCATAATTGATGTTTTCTTATCGTATGGCGAGGAAGCTAATGATTCCGAAGACAATAATGCACAAAACAGTTTTGAGTAGTTGAGGCATCTTTAGATGAGGCATCTTCAGATGGCTAGAATATTGAAAACAGTTTCCGACCGTGTACTTGTAACATTAGAAGACAGGATGAGGGATATATAGTAAGCTTAGAAGAAATCTACTAAGGTAGAATATTCCTAGGATTTGTACGTGATGTGGATAAGATACTTGTAACCTTGTTAAGATACAGTAACTAGAGAGGCCGGGGTAGTAGAGAGCGCGCGTAGATGGCTTAGGAAGCATACTGTAGAGCTGGGGTATCCAGAGGGTACAAAAGTAGCAGGTGTTGTAGGTACCACAGGATGTAGGGAGTCTTTGTGATCATTGGGAACACAAGGGGTTAAGATCCTGGACCACCATTAGTAACGTTACTATGATTGTGTGTGGTGATTTAGGTGTGGCTGTGTGGGGGGGGGGGAGTATTTGTGTTTGCGTGGGTGTGTGTGGGGGGGGGAGGGAGTGTTTGTGTGTGTGTGTGTGTGTGTTTTACTGCAATGACAACAATCTAATGTTGCTAGTATTGACCGTGGTGTTTAATAGGGGTGCTAGTATTGACTAGTGTCATCAGTGGTGCTTTCGTTGGTTAGTATTAACAGTGAGCCTAGTATTGATCTTGGTGTTAACAGTAGTGATTGACAGCCCTAGATTGTGTGCTTCGTTTCCTTTATGTTGCATTTCTCTGATGAGTTTCATATTATCGCTGTGCTTAATGGATAACAATGTCTGGTAGTGGTAGTGGAGAGTGGTTGTTGGTGGTGGTTGTGGTTGTTTGTGGTGGTAGTGGTCGTTGGTGGTAGTGGTTGTTGTTGGTGGTAGTGGTTGTAGGTGGTAGTGGTGGTAGTAGTCGTTGGTGGTAGTGGTTGTTGTTGGTGGTAGTAGTCGTTGCTGGTAGTGGTTGTTGGTGGTGGTAGTGGTCGTTGGTGGTAGTGGTTGTTGGTGGTGGTAGTGTTCGTTGGTGGTAGTGGTCGTTGGTGGTTGTGGTCGTTGGTGGTAGTGGTTGTTGTTGGTGGTAGTGGTCGTTGCTGGTAGTGGTTGTTGTTGGTGGTAGTGGTTGTTGGTGGTAGTGGTCGTTAATGGTGGTGGATGGTGGTGGTAGTGGTTGTTGGTGGTGGTAGTGGTTGTTGGTGGTGGTAGTGGTAGTTGCTGGTAGTGGTTGTTGGTGGTGGTAGTGGTTGTTGGTGGTAGTGGTCGTTGGTGGTAGTGGTTGTTGGTGGTGGTAGTGGTCGTTGGTGGTAGTGGTTGTTGGTGGTGGTAGTGGTCGTTGGTGGTAGTGGTCGTTGGTGGTCGTGGTCGTTGGTGGTAGTGGTCGTTGGTGGTAGTGGTCGTTGGTGGTAGTTGTAGTTTGTGGTGGTAGTGGTCGTTGGTGATAGTGGTTGTTGGTGGTAGTGATCGTTGGTGGTAGTGGTCGTTAGTTGTAGTGGTCGTTGGTGGTAGTGGTCGTTGGTGGCAGTGATCGTTGGTGGTAGTGGTTGTTGTTGTTGATGATTGTTGGTGGTAGTAGTTGTTGGTGGTAGTGGTTGTTGGTGGTGGTAGTGATCGTTGGTGGTAGTGGTCGTTGGTGGTAGTGATCGTTGGGGGTAGTGGTCGTTGGTGGTAGTGGTCGTTGGTGGTAGTGGTCGTTGGTGGTAGTGGTTGTTGGTAGTAGTGATCCTTGGTGGTAGTGGTTGTTGGTGGTGGTAGTGGTCGTTGCTGGTAGTGGTTGTTGTTTGTGGTAGTGGTCGTTGGTGGTAGTGGTCGTTGGTGGTAGTGGTTGTTGGTGGGAGTGGTCGTTGGTGGTAGTGGTCGTTGTTGGTAGTGGTCGTTGTTGTTGATGATTGTTGGTGGTAATGGTTGTTGTTGGTGGTAGTGGTCGTTGTTAGTAGTGGTCGTTGTTGTTGATGATAGTTGGTGGTAGTGGTTGTTGGTGGTAGTGGTTGTTGGTGGTAGTGGTTGTTGTTGGTGGTAGTGGTCGTTCGTGGTAGTGGTCGTTGTTGGTAGTAGTTGTTGGTGATGGTGGTTGTTGTTGGTGGTAGTGGTCGTTGTTGTTGATGATTGTTGGTGGTAGTGGTCGTTGGTGGTAGTGGTCGTTGTTGGTAGTGGTCGTTGTTGTTGATGATTGTTGGCGGTAGTAGTTGTTGGTGGTAGTGGTCGTTGGTGGTAGTGGTCGTTGTTGGTAGTGGTCGTTGTTGTTGATGATTGTTGGTGGTAGTAGTTGTTGGTGGTAGTGGTTGTTGGTGGTAGTGGTTGGTGGTAGTGGTCGTTAGTGGTCGTTAGTGGTAGTGGTCGTTATTGGTAGTGGTCGTTATTGTTGATGATTGTTGGTGGTAGTGGTCGTTGTTGTTGATGATTGTTGGTGGTAGTGGTTGTTGTTGGTGGTAGTGGTCGTTGTTGTTGATGATTGTTGGTGGTAGTATTTGTTGGTGGTAGTGGTTGTTGTTGATCATTGTTGGTGGTAGTGGTTATTGGTGGTAGTGGTTGTTGGTGGTAGTGATTGTTGGTGTAGGGATTGGTGAAGGTTGTTGGTGATGGTTGTTGGTGTTAGTGGTTGTTTGGTTGTTCTTGAGAGTAGTGTTTGATGGTTGGTGTTGTTGGTGGTATTTGTGATTGTTGTTATTGTTTGTTGATTGATGTCTGTGGCTGTTGGATCTTTGTGGTAGTAGTTGTTGTTTGTCCAGGCATTGGTTGTTAGTGGTAGTGGTTGTTAGTGGTAATGATTGTTGGTGGTTGTTGGTTGATGGTAGTGGATTGAGGCTCCTGGAGTTGGATCTTACGCTGACCTGAAGCAACTGATGGTCATGGAGAAGTTGTTGGAGATGATGTATCACGAAACAAAGTTCAAGATCCTAGAAGCAGGGATAAAGGAGGTGAAAGATGCCGCAGATAGGACAGATATGATTACGGAAGCATACAAGAGCTTGAGGGAGAACAGAGTGAGAAGCGAGGCGAGACGCAACAATGGCAGATCCAGTGAGTCTGGGGAGGAAGAAGTTATGAAAGACCCAGCAGAGTCTGGGGTGAGAAGAATTTTGATAAATGGGCAGATAAACGTAAGTACCCTAAAACTCAGAAGAGTAGGTCGGGCACTTCGTCTGAAAGTGAGGATGAAGGAGCTAAACGAGAAACTAATCGTGATCCTGGAAACCAAGAGTCCAGTAAATCCCCACAGAGTGCAGGTAGTGTACCTGGCCCGAGGAACTCTCATGCGAGTGGACAAAGTCAGAGCCACTCTGGTACATACAGAAGAGACTTTTCCCAGGTGAGGTGTTACAATTGTAACGGATTGGGTCACGTGATGCGAGACTGTCGGCAGGGCAAAAGAGTTGTGACCCTGGCCATGTGTGACCCCCGAAGTAAATATACTAATGTGTTCCATGACAAACCACAGAAGATAAACTTAGTGAACGAGAGGTATAGGCCGTTCATGAGCAAAGGTTGGATCAGTATAGGAGTCCAGCCTGAGGTAGAAGTTGGTATTTTAAGAGATACCGGAGCTAATCAGAGCTTGATTGCGAGAAGCCTGATTGAGAATGATCGACGGTTAGCTGGCAGGAGAAAGATGAAAGTATACGGGTTATTGTCTGTGAGTGACATGCCCGTATGTACTGTCCAGCTAAGGTCGGAATATGTTTCGGCGGAGGTGATGTTGGGAGTATGCCCCGACATATCTGTTCCAGGAGTCCAAGTGATCCTGGGAAATGACTTGTGCGGGACAAAGGTGTTGCCAAGAGTCATAGCGGAGACTGTGCCAGACGAGTGCCCAGAAGGCCACGGCACGTGTGGGACACTTGAGAGTGTGAACCTGACTGACGTTCAAGGAGATGCGTCAGGAGATCGCCAAGCCATTGAGTACCCTGTCTCGGTAGTGATGAAGGCAGAGGTGGCCGACGAGGAAGACGCTGGAGAAGATGAGACAGTGTCGATTCAACCAGTGGAAGATATAGATGTAGATATAGCGTGGCTGTTTGATGAAGGTCCAGCCCAGGAAAATGAAGTCAAAAGTGAAGATGACCCAGCCAAAGAGGAATCATGTGAAGAGAGCGGACCTGAGTAGAGCCCAGACTGCTGAAATTAAGAGTCGGAAGGTGAATGCAACTGTGCTGAGTAGAAATGAGGAAGGA